ATTTAAGGCTTCAACCCAAAACTTTGGAGCAACTTTCTTGCTAAGGAGTATGACCCTAGCCATCTCTTGAACAACTCTATTTTTCCTCTCAACAACTCCATTTTACTGTGGAGTAATAGATGCAGAAAACTCATGCTTAATTCCATGCGTATCACAAAAATTTGAAAACGAACTATTTTCAAACTCACGACCATGATCAGTTCAGATTCTTATGATACGCCTAATAGAGACACCCTGTTCATTTTGAATTTTAAGGACTAAGGCCTAGAAAGCATCAAACGTATCAGATTTTTCTTTTAAAAAATTAACCCATGAAAAACGAGTGTAATCATCCACAGTTAAAAAAATGTATCTTTTACCTCCAATGCTTTCAGTGCGAGTGGATCCCATAAGATCCATATGAACCAGTTCAAGAGAACGTTTGGTTGTGAAACTATTCACCTTTTTAGGAGGGGCACGAGTTTGCTTCTCAAGTTGACATGGTCCACACACACGGTTCACATTCTTACCCATTTTGGGTATTCCTCTCACATGCTCTTTGTTGGCTATCTTGGTTAGGTCCTTGAAATTCATGTGACATAATCTTTGATGCCACAAGTCAAGATTACATATGACAGCCGAGTGACAAGCAAGATCATTAGTGGTAACAATCCCATAACAATTATCAGATGTGCGAACCCCATGCATGACAGTATTTCCCTTCTTATCCAAAATTTCACATTTATTTTTTGAAAACAATACTTCATGATGGGAATCACACATTTGACTAATGCTCAAAAGATTTGCTTTAAGACCATCAACAAGTAGGGCATTCTCGAGCTTAGGAAGAACAGCCAAACTTATAGAGCCCTTACCAATGACTCTAGAAATGCCACCATCTCCATAGGTAACAATTCCTCCTTCATATTTTTCAAGAGATATGAAGTATGATTTGTCACCAGACATGTGACGAGAGCACCCACTATTATGATACCACATGTGTGAGTCACGTGCTTTCAGTGCAGTGTGAACAACAAAACAAGTTAAGTCACTCTTTCTCACATATATCTTTTTGGTCTTAACAGAAGCAGAACTAGCAGTCTTGGTAAACGTCTTGGCATCGTGAACACCCTCATGAATCTTAGTGTTTCGCCTAGACATGTAAGGTTGTCTCCTAACCCAAAAAGTATTAGAATTTTTACCCTTTTGAGACATCTTACCAAACAACTTAAAACAATAAGGACGAATGTGGCCATACTTACCACAATGATGACAAAAACATGTTTTACCTCATTTTTGTTGATCTTACGCCCGTTAGGTTGATGAAGAGAGGGATCACCCTATTGAACCTTCACATTTTCCTTTGTTTAAGTCTTGATGTTATGTGATGTAGAGGCCTGTCCCTTTTGAACTGTTGTATTACCATAGCCTAGCCCACTTTTGTCACAACTCATTTGTTGAGACCCAAGGATGTCTTCCAATGTCTTTGACCCTTTGTTCCACATATCAATCGTGGCTCTAGCATCTTGGAGTTCTTCCTCTTTCTGACCGACAATCTCTTTCAATGCAACTTGTGACATCTCAAGAATTTCAATCTTCTCTTCATTTGTGGCATATATTTTCAAAAGTTTATTCCTTTCGGTCTCACAAGATAGAAGTTTTCCACATAGGTCTTACCTGCCATTGGAGATTTTGATGACATCCTGTTTTGCTGTTACAATTTCTCCATTTAGCTTGACATTCTGGCTTTCACATGCTTTGAGCTTGAAGTCAATTTTTCATTGATCTTGGACAAGTTCAGAGATTCATTGTAAAGCTTTTCATAAGCTTATTGTAGATCATCACCATCGATTTCATCATTGTCTTCCGAGGTTCCATCATTTTCATCTTCTTTTTGCTCCTCTTTCACCTTGATCTCATCTAGTCATGCAACTAAGGCATGAAAATTGGCGGATGGTGGTGACGATGACTCTCCTCTTTCATGGAATTGACTCAGAATGTCCCATGCATCTTTGGCCTTTGTGCAGTGAGCAATCCGTTGTTGTTCTTCTTCAGAAATTGCTTCACAGATGGGTGTCAGAGCTCTGTGATTGATTGGATTGTCAACACTTTCAACATCCTCTTCAATGGCTTGCCAACCTTCAGGATCATGAGCTCTAAGAAACATCCTCATTCGGATCTTCCAAAATAAGTAGTTACTCTTATCAAAGGTAGGAGCACGATGCAGATTCTAACCATGAGCAAACTCAACTGGATTTGGAGGAGGTTCAATGACAATAGACCAGAATGCCATGTAGGTACTACCTCCGTCTTTACTGGATTCGATTTCTTCAGGTTCTTGCTCTAACCCGCTTTCATCATCCCAAGTCACTGTATAGACTTTCTTCCGATTCTTTTTTGATGGACATTCAAGAGTAATATCACCAAACCCTTGACATTCGTAACACTTTACACCTTGCCCCTTCATAGTCTTCTTTTCAGTTTTTAGAGTAACTTTTGGTGGAAAAGTTTTGGATTTTTCGTTACCCTTATCTTTTGAACTATGGTCCTTGAAATTGGGCTTCTTTTTCTTTATAATTTTTTTGAACTATTTGGTAAACATAGACGTCATTTCGAACTCTGGATCAAACTCAATATCAGGGGTCTTAGTAGTCTCATGAGCACTAGTAAAGCCATGCTATCTTTTTTTTTTTCTTAGAAATCTAGTGGGTTTCATAAGTCTACAAGTTTCCAGCCAACTAATCAAACTTGAGGGTATCAACAATCTGAGCCTCCTCAATAGCTGTAACTTTTGATTGGAACCTCTCGGGTAAAGACCTCAAAATTTTTCCAACAACCTTAGCTTCAGGGATTTTTTCACCGAGTGTGAAACGGGAATTCACGATGTCATTAAGTTTAGCAGAAAAATCATCAAACGTCTCATCATTACGCATAAAAAGAATTTCAAAAGAGGAGGTGTGACGTTGAAATTTTGACCTTTTAACATAAATATTACCCTTATGAATAGTTTCAAGAATGTCTCAAGCCTCTTTTGCTACCTCACACGTGCAAATGCGACGAAACTCTTTAGGTGTGACGGAGCTAAATAGGGAATTGAGAGCCTTACTGTTCCAACTCGAGTTTTGATAGTCGAATACGTCCCATTTATCAAGAGGTTTGGGGATATCAACACCATCAATGGTGACAACAGGTTCACTTCACCCATAGATCACATAGTGCTAAACTTTCTCATCAATAGATTTTAAAAATGCTCTCATACAAGCTTTCCAATAAGAATAGTTTGTACCAGCAAGTAACGGAGGTCTATGGGTCGAGTTACCTTCGCGAATCAAATCCATATCACCAATCACACAAAATCACACTGCTATAGTTTTGATAAAAACAAAGAGTGGACTACTCTGATACCAAATGCAAAACCTAAGTGATTAGTGATTAGATCAAGAAAAATTGTACCAAATCCCAAACGATTAAAACCAACAATCTAAATTATCTAGCACATACGAAAGTGATTTAGATTGTCATTTTAGAAATAATAAATAGACACAAACCATATTTACATAGAAAAACCACAATTGCAACACCTTCAATTGTGACTAAAAAACCACAGGCGAAACGCCACTAAGTAAACCGAAAAAAAGAATACAAATTTTACCAAACAAACTACCCAAACTTTGATAATTTGTCTTCAACAATCTGTGTCTCTTTCACCTCAGCCTTCGTCTCAGAATTGATCAATTTGATGTTGAATCGACAACATCCATTGTCGAATCAACGACTGCGCACATCATCAAACTCTTTCGAATACTCCACGCTTGAATCTCCGAATTCCACCAAAGAAGAACACTCTTGAAGTCGAATAATCAAACAACTCTTTGATGTATGCTCGTCAAACTACGAGTATAATACTCAATCAAACATCAAAGAAAACTAGAAAAAAAGCCCTAGAAGAAAACCCTAAAACCCTCAAAGAAGATCTGGAAGCCGTAACCCTAAAACAGGACTGAAGCAAAAATTTATAGAAACAGGGCCACGATGGTCGCACAAGCGAAGGATCGCTCACTCGAGCGAGGAGACAGATACGTGTGAACCTTATAAGTGCCTTCGGTCGAGCCACCAAGAGGTTCGCTCGAGCGCACAAAAACCATTCCCAGTATTTTTGCAAACAGAGCAAAGTATTGGGACAAAGACAACTTCACTCAAGCCAAGAGTCCACACAAACCCATGAACACTTACAACTCGATAAGTAATGTTTGTTTGCAGAATTGGCAAGACTAAGAGACCTAACAATTTATATTTATTTTTTATTATTATGACAATGGGATCATACACATTATAATTGAAAAAAAAATAATTGGGAAAAAAAATATTTGAAAAAAAATTAATTGGAAAAAACATTATTTGAAAAAAAATTAATTGAAAAAAAAAATTGTTAGTCAAATTTTGAAATTTCTGTTTAAACACTAACGTAAACTCATTTTTTGAGTTTACGTTTCTTTCCTCAAATTTATAAACTGAGACAATCATTTATAAATAAAAAAAAAAACTTATCAAACAAGTTTTTATGACAATTTTTAAAATTTTTGTAAATATAAACTGAAAAATGCAAATGAAATGGTTTCCAAGTGAAACATTAGTAAAACATTTGATAAAAATTTTGCGGTTTCTAGCATTTTCTGTGTGATTTATGTAACTAGATTTTTATGTAGCCCTATATAAGGAACGTTATATAATTATTATGGATTGAAGGGTCCATATGGTTCAATACGGGTCTTATTTGAATAATCTGAACTGTTCATTTTGTAGGGCTTGCAATGTGTATTATCAATGAAAAATTTTATGATGATCCAATAATTGTAATATATTTATTTTATTGCATTTATCTTTAAAATTGGATAATTTATTTTAAAAGTATATTTGTTGTCCATTTTTTTGGAGACAAATGTAATAAAATGAAAAAAAAAAAAAAGAAGTTATGATTATCGGATCGAACTAATTTTTTTTATGGATAATATACATTGCAGGCTATACAAAATGAACGGTTTGAATCATCGAAACGAGACCTGTGGTGGGCCCTATAGGCATTTCAAGTTCTGTCATATCGAGATCTTAACAATAGAGAAATCCAACCCCATGATTATTGCCAATGAAGTAAGGGGAGGAGATTAATAACATCGAAATATTTTGACTGAGATCTGAATTCATATTGAGTTTTCTGTATGGCTTTTATTTCTATAGCCCTACTACAACTTCATGTTTCGACACACCTAATAGTATTTTTTTTTTTTTGTTGAATTACAAATACACCTTCTCAGATTATTCTAAAATATAAATTTGTCTCTCAAGTTTTGAAAAATTTTGCTACTTCAGATTTCAAATTACATAACGAATACCCACATCTGTTAGCAATTGTTAGGTCAACTAACTGATTTTGTTAATATCATCAATTTTGTTTCTTACATTTTTTATCCATAATACTTTTTTCTTTTTTTGCAATAGGGAAAAAAATCTCAATCACCCCATAGCCCACAGACTGTTTCCTTCTATCCCTCTTCACTCTCCAGCCATCTCTTATCTCTATTTCTTCTCATTTCCTTTCCCAATTCGTTTTATCTTTCTCTCTCTATCTGTTACCCCACTTTGTCTATTTTTTCTTGCATTTTTGTCTTATTCCTGTTCCCAATCCCTCAGGTCAAAACAGAGCACTACATAGCCTCAAGGGAGTATTTGTCAAATTTTGATGCTAACACTGTTAAAAGTCGAACTTTGAAAAGAGGGTATTTGTAATTTCTCAAATTAGAGGGAGGAATTTGTATTTTAGACAAATCTTAACGATGTGTTTAGTTGGGGATATGGGAAGGGATTTGAAAAGGGAAAAGGAAAATGTGTGTGAAACTAAGTAAAATGTATTAATATATTATTCACATTTCATCTACTTTGTCCTTTTCTTTTCCAAATACTTTCCCAAATCTCCTGTCCAAAAACAACGTAAAAGTGTATGTGTAATTCACCCTATATTTTTATGTTATCTTTCTGCTGCCCCCATCCACTTCTTGTTTATAAAGGCTAGTAAATCCCTCTGCTGAGAGTGATCAAAAACAGGAAATCTAACGATGCTGGAGTCTAGTAGAGATTTGAATATGTTTGAGTTTTCTTTTTCTTTCTTTTGTTGTGATAAAAAATAAAAAAGTTATAGTTATGTACTAAAGCAAGGATATTAGTAGCAATGTTATAGTAGAGATTTGACAATAAGGGATTGCATTAAGCGTCCCATTCAAGGTTTTGAAAAGCGGTTGCGGTCACCGTAACAGTTGCGGTGACGTGGTAGCAGTTGCAAGGTGTAAAAGTCATAGTGTAACGATTGCGGTAACCGGAACTGTGTTTCTTTTTTTTTTTTCCGCACAATTTGAAGAAAACTTACCGATACGCATATTTATTTTTTTTATTTTTTATTTTTTCCATAATCACATTTATTGGGGTTTAAAATAAATTTTGATCAATTTTTGTTAATTTTTAAGTATGACGTAAAAGGAGCTTTTTACGTTTTATTTCATTAGTTAATGATTTTAAAAATAATTGATTTTAAATGTCTACAAATTATTTTTTATCAATACCTGAACTAACTGAATAAAAAATATTTACAATTATTAAATGAAAGGATTATAAAATAAAAATTCTGCCATAAATTTAATAAAATTTTAACAATTATCCACTTTTTTATGTTCTTTCTTATATAGCACAATAAGTTTCACTATTTGTTAAATATAATAAATCATACACATACACAGTGGGTGGGTTTGTGTTTTTTTTTTTTTTTTTTTGTTCTTTTTGTTTTGAAAAGGAAGTTATTCAAAATATTATAAAAGGATGTAACGCTGTCTAACGAACCGTTACGGTCATTACGTAACACCAAAACGGCCGTTACATATGTGAATTTTCGTCACACCCTTATAACGGCCGTAATGGTGACGGTAACCACCACAACCGTTACGTACGTTACGTAATGGTTGCGACCACATTTGCAAACGTTGATCCCATCGCATTTAGTGGATTGTTTAAACAAGAAACAAAGAGCCAACTTTAATTTGTTTAAACAAGAAACAAAGAGCCAACTTTAATTTGTTTAGTTGGTCTGAAAAAAGAGAACACAGTTTTCTTCAACCAAGGTTTAAGAATACATTGGAAGTGCTCCATTTAATTGGGACTAGAAGAAGCACAGATGACATGGTACAATGAGACTAATTCTTGTGAAGAAGTGAGTTATTGAATGTGGGTAATATAGTGATAATCAGATTTTTGGTTTCTTGGAATAGAAAGTTACTTGCGGAAGGAATGGTGAAGAGAGATATCCATGAAGTCATAAAATTTTAGCTGACTACAAATTTGGTAAACTTTCACTACAGCAAATTAAAATGAGATTATTTCATTTTTACCCTTATACTTTGTCACGATTTTCAATAACCTCCCAGACTACTCTTATTTTCACGCATGCCCCTATACTATTTAAGTTACTAACAATTTTTCCCTTGCCATCATATTTGAAACGGAAAAAGTTTAAAAAATTACATTTTGGCCCTAAAGATGCAAACCCACCCATCAAACCACCACCAGCAACCACCATTTCAAGCATTTCTATCTCCATCGTCATAACTCTGTTGCGCCTTATTTTTACATCGTTGGATTCAACTCACGGTCTAGTTTTCATATCACATCTCACATGTCTCGTTCTTCCTCTTTTTGCCTGCTATCGGAGCTCTGAAATTTGATATATATATAAAAAAAAGACTTTTCTTTTTGTTTTCGACTTTTCTTCGAACCATCTTTCGGACTTTATATCTTTCTCGATTCTTGACGGTTCTACTTCATTATTCCGCCATTCTCTTCACCTCACTTCTTACTTCACCTTACACTACCTCGCTTTCTCACTTATTCGTGTAATGGGCGGTTTTGGTATACCAAAAGTTGTCCGAAAACTAATTTCGAAAATTTCAAAACATTCATCTTTTGTTTCTTTCGATTTCGACCATATGGTAGATTGGTGGTTTTGACAGTATGGAAAATATGGCCATCCTCGTTATATTATTTCATGATACAACTTTACACAACCTTTAATCAGTTATCTAAATTACTAGGTTTATCTGTTTTGTGTTCCCTGGCTATGAATAATTTGATGGAGATGATGGATGTATAATTTGTACAAGGTGATTAATGAAGGATGAATAAGATTATATCTTGCTTTATATCAAGTGGAAGCTCTGGACAACTTGATAGTTCTTTGAATTTACAAACAGTCTTATTCTTTAAATTTGCATTTTATTATTCCTTGTTTGGATGCACCCAACTATTTTTGGTTATGAGGGTTTCGTTATAATATGAACTATGGGCACATCTTTGATGCCTTATCTTTGTTTTTTTTTTTTTCCTCTTCTAAAAAAGGTTAACTGTATGTTAGATCTCAATCATGGCCCACTAAATGTCTATGCTTCCATTGGTGATGCATAGGCAGCAGGTTTTTGAATCAGTTCATATTTATGTTCATCAAACTCCACCGACAGGATTTTCGTCCTCTACCTCTTTGAGTGAGAAATAAGCAGCCATATAAAATTTGCACCTAGGTATTTTATAATCAACTATCTATTGTCTTCCTAGAGTTTAAGCACATGTTCTCAATATTGCATCTCATTAGAGTAACCAATTTTTTGTAGAGAAACTAATACATTGCAAAAGGTTTGTACATGGATAGGAAGAAAGTATCATATATAACTTTTTAGAAGCATCACTGCCACCATCACCATCACCAGTTTCGTTACCACCGAGAACTATGTTCCATATCATGTTATACGTGAAGAAAAAGAAGAAGAAGAAGAATGAGGAAGATGGAGAAGAAAGAAACAAAAGTTGAATGTTTTGAATTTTTCGAAATTAGTTTTCGGACAAATTTCGGCATACCAAAACCACCCATTAGACGAAGAAGTGAGAAAGCGAGGTAGTGTAGGGCGAAGTAGGAAGTGAGGTGAAGAGAATGGCTAAAGAATCAAGTAGAACCGTTAAGAATCGAGAAAGATATGAAGTCCGAAAGATGGCTCGAAGAAAAGTCGAAAACGAGAAGAAAAGTCTTTTTTTTTTAATCAACTTTTAGAGCTCCGATAGCATGCAAAAAGAGAAAGAACGAGACGTGTGAGCTGTGATATGAAAACTAGACTATGAGTTGAATCCAACGACGTAAAAATGAGGAGAAACGAAATTATGATGAAGGAGATAGAAGGGTTTGAAGTGGTGGTTTGCTGGGTGGGTCTACATCTTTCTTTTGAAATTTGTAAGTACATTACAATCATAACAATCCATCTATCACTTATTACAAGATACTAGAGAACATAATGATTGTATGAAGGTGAGTCCAAGGAGAATAGCAGCCACAATAACAGATAAGACCCACCAGCGAGTATAGCAGTAGTTATGCCTCAAGGTTGCCTTCCACTTGTGGCTACAAATTTTATAGTAGTCATTCAACTCTTTATGAAGTTTAGTAAAATAATATGCATTAGTGTCCAAGATAACTTCTTTGCCAAGTCCGTTAATGAGATTTGACACATCATTGTTGTCACTTAGCCAGTTCTCAATAACTACTTAGCCAGTTCTCAATAACTTTGGCTTTAACAAGTAACTCAACATCCTTGGAAGTGTTGATGAGGTAAACCAAAATATCCATGGTCATTTCGAAAAGATCTCAGAGAACCAAAAAGGGAAGTTGATTTTCAAGCAATAACAAGTCTTGGCTTATAATTAATCATCCATGGTTTCCTAAATATCCAATCATTTGGAGTTATTAAATCATCAAACCAGTACCTCAATAGGACTTCAATGATAAATGCAGCATCCACAAGAATAATTTCCAACAATTTATCGCTGTTGAGGCTGATTGTTTTTGAATAATATCCGCGGATTCTTTCTTCATTTTCCTCTATAAACTTGACCAATTCATCCAAGCTCTTTTGACTCTACTGCATGAAATAGTTGAAGTACCTCCACTTGTGGTCTTCCATGTCTTCTAGGCCTTCTTTGCCATGGTGAAGCGGCCCAATTGAGACTCTGAAAGGAGTATAGGCCTCTTCATTGATGTTTTGAAATTTGTTGGGAACTTTATATATACAATAGTTAGGGGATGGGCATGATAACTTAGCTAACTTCTCCCTAATAGATTTCACTAGTACCTCCACATCAATTGAAGCATCGCTATTTGTGCTAGTAGTTCCATGTCTCAATGTGCCAAAATTTTCCATTCTGAATGTAATGGGTTTATGTGGTTATCTAGCAACAAGATAGATATCCATTTGGATTTAGCACGAAATTATAAATTAAAAAAACTATTTAGCCACTATTAATATTATATTAAAGGTTGGCATTATTAGCCTCTCAAGTGCTAAACGTGTTTTTATGCTCAAGTCATGTTATGATTTGGGGCAATGATAAAGGTCAATTGTACACCGTAATTGATGGGAAGTTAATTGATGATTTTTTAGTATTGTCTATTGCTTCTGAATGTTACATGATTGCGCGGGACTTGTCCTAAATGTAAGAAATTATGTAATTGTTTGTATAGCTTCTAAGAGTATTAGATAATGTTCTATGGTCAACAAATAATTTTTGATACACGATAAGTTTTGAAAGTGTTAATGAACGGACCTAATTCCATGAGTTGATGTAATTTTTATAATTATAAATATTAGAAGATCAAAGTTGATGTAAGTATACTAATACCTAAAAAAATTATATAAAATGGAAAAAAAATAAAGAAGATAGATAATGGAATTCCCATCGAATTGGAATATTTAGGTAAAGTTACTTTAAATCCAATTGTTGTAGGGTAAACCATATATACCTACAACTATTTGTAATGCCCCCAAAATAATACAATAAATTCAACCCATAAGCAGAAATTAATAGAAATAATACTTTCATTCCTCAGAGTCTGTATATAAAATATAACACATGTGATATACATTCACAAACTGTTCATCCTGAATCTATAGTATGTGCTGCAATGATAAAGAATTGAAAACTAAACAGATAATCATATGCCCTACAGGCTTACATCTTTCCAAGTCATTGCTTGGTTACAACAAAAGTGAACCTAGCGCAATACAATTAAACCCCTTGGCTATACAAAAAGAAAACAACAAAAGAAAGACACTCTTACTCCCAAAAGTCCCTCCAAGCTATTGTTTTGGCGGAGGCATATCACTGACGCCTGAAAAAGGTTTTTCCCAAATAGGGTGAGCCAAAACC